TTTAAGAATTTCCTTGGAGCTAAAAATCACAGTCAAGGGAGAAAAAAATAACTCCTAAATCTCTTCTGTAGTAATTGCATGCGCTCCTTAAAGAAACCTAAGAATGAACATTTTACAATAAACTGTACTGTTTTCATTGCATTATGCAAATTAAATGACAACTTGTCATTTAAGAAGTTAATAAACAGTCACCGTTTTGCAGGTTATCCAAATGCTACTGAATAGACAACCTTGGATCCCTAAATGATGTGTAATTAAAATTATTTTTAAAATCCTCTTTGACAGGCCAGGGCTTAGCCAAAAAGTAAATGACATTAAAGAAGACAATGAATTTAATTTTATTTAATGTCCCTTTTTGCAGATCCTCATTTACATAGCATTTTTAACAAAAGCGTTGACCTTATAAATGCTGGCATTTGTACAGCTTCTGCAGAGTTGGATTTAATCATGCTTTCACAAAGCCATAAGGGAAAAGCTTTAAGTTCTCTGGTTGGATATGGAGTAGGAATAAAAACATTGGGACTGGTCAAATGTTTATCCTCCTTGCTTCTGAAAACAACCTGACAAGAAGATGTAAAGGTCTAGGGAATAACCCATTGCTGTTTGTAAGGCTTGGTAATAATCATACATAATCGTTTGGAAATATAGCTAATAAAAAATATAATGAGTGTTCAGCAAAATCGGCATTAGGCCCAAATTACATGATATTAATACTTGAACAGGTGCAGAAAGGCTCTTTAAATGAGGTAAATGAATAAAATGTCCCAGAGCACAACTGTGTGCACTGACAAAAAGTCAATCACATGAATAATTCAGTGACTAGGACTGCCAGCAAAGGTCAGCTTTCTTTGACCTTTGTGACAGGAAGTGAAAGGAAACACTGTTGACTAAAAAAAAAGAACCACTTCCAATCAGTCTTCAGCTACCATTCTACAATTACTTTAAAGAAACAAACTTTAGCTACAAGTGAAATAAAGCTATTTCTTCCTAACCAAGTTTGGTAATTCTGCCACCTTTCTGAAAAATGTAGAAGTCATAAAATTCTGCCTCTCACTGAAACACAACGTGAAAACCACAAGAAGTTACACAGAGACAATGAAAGGTTAAGTATAGAGAGGCATTTTTCTCTGGAAACAATGTCAATTATGTATAAAATCTGAGGTCAGCTGAAAAATATTTTAAGAGCCCACAGAGCTGAAAGTTTGAAACAGCTGTTAAATATGACAAAACTTCTTTACCCCCACCAAAAAACCTAAATCTATTCCAAACTCTGTATGGAAGAAAATGGGATAAACAGATGTCTGGCTTTTATACAGAAAAGTAGAACACACTTGGAATTATAAGTCTTCTTAACTCTATAGAATAATGCCAGATTTATAGGAGAGGGAGAGTATTTACTACCCACAGAAATGCCAACTAGCAGTACAACTGTGATAATACCATCTGGAAAAATGATGCCAGGCATGCTCTCAGCAATACTTTGCAAGTTCATTCCGTGTGCACAGGCAGATCTGCCATTGTTTTACTAGCAAGTTGCTTCTTAATGTGGTTATAGTAAAGAAACCCTGTCCTCGCCTATTCCTTCATAATCAGCTGCTTCAGTGTTCAACAGTTGAATACTGTGATCTCATATAGATTCTAGCCAAACGAGAAAAGGAAAAGTCAAGAAGGTGTCTTTTACCAGGAATTTCCATACCTTCCCATAAAATATTATGGTGGCAGAAAAGAATTATTTTAGCACGCAGTGTGGTTTTGGTTTAGCAGTTACAGCAGCATCCTGTAATCATTTATGGGCAGTGGAATGTATGGGTGAAATAGGATAGATTTATCTCTTCATAGTTGTGATATGTAGACAATGGGTGTTCCTAATGAGGAACATCTGCTTTTGTGCTCTCCCAGAAAACATTATTCCACTATGAAAATGATACTCCTATCCTTTTCGGCAGGCCCACATAAAAATAAGTCGTTTTCTTTTATTTCTTTTATTTGTCTTTCTTTGGGGCAGTTTTATTTCCCATGGAGACTTTTGGGAGGCATCCCTTTGGCTAGAATTACTTTATGGTATTATTTTTTTGTAGACTGTATCTGTTACAAGGATTACATAATTTTAAAGACAAAACAGTGTCCAAAATTATAATAATAATTAAAAATGTATTCTTAAAAATGTTTTTTAGCCGAAAAATGCATAGAAATAGTTTGTGAGGGAAGGGAGATAAGTATTGAGTACTTTATATAGTGTGGAATTTTAAAGCCCTAATAAAAATATTTTTATTATTTTCTTTATCTGTCCTATTAATGTGAAATCCTTGAATTATGCGTGTACGTATATGTATGTGTTCTGTATGAATGATTCATGTTACCAAGATAAAACACTGTTAGAAGGTACAGATAATACCTATTTTCTATTCATTCTATTATAACATTATCTAAAACAAATTGTGGTTGTTGTTTCAAATACTTGTCTGAATTTTTGATTAATATTCTCAGGACTAATATGTGT